TGCCATCTGTACTATTAAAAAACCCTCTAGGAAAATAATCACAGAAGTACATGTAACCTGTAGGTTAGCCCTGTTGTGATGGCTTCTCTGAATAAAGAGATGACAAATTTTAAATGATGTCTAAGAAAGACATATACAGTGATGATAGTAATTGGTTTGAAGATCTTAGCCCTTTTCTAGTTTACATTTCTAAAAGGTAGTTAATAATGTTTTTGTAGTTAATAATTGTCTTTAGTCCCTTAACTCTTTTTCTTTTGTAGAGCCTCCTCATATTGTGATGCATTTAAACTGTAGCTGATCTATCATATCCCTAAATCTAGCTCTGCCAGTACTGTTCATCTCTGATAAAGGAAGAGGAAACAATTCTTTTTCCATTGCACAGTTCAGTGCGGGGGGGTTTCACCTCCCTCCCTTTCTCTTTAGGGTCTTGATGGTGCAACTGGAGAAAAAGGTGATCAAGGGATGCCAGGACCCCCAGGACTAACAGGTCCAATTGGACTTCCAGGTTTAACAGTAAGTAATCTAAAGAATAGGGGCCACGATGGCTCAGAGGTTAAGACGCTGAGTTGCAGACTGGAAGGTCGGTAGCTCGGCAGTTCAAGACCCTAGTGCCACATGACAGAGTGAGCTCCCGTCTCTGGCCCCAGCTCTTGCCAACCTAGCAGTTTGAAAGCAAGAATTTGCAAGTAGATAAATAGGTACCGCTTTGGTGGGAAGGTAACAGTATTTCGTGTGCCTTGGCATTTAGTCATGCCAGCCACATGACCATGGAGAAGTCTTTGGACAACGCTGGCTCTTCAGCTTGGAACTGGAGATGAGCACCATCCCCTAGAGTTGGATTCGACTGGCTTTTGAGCAAGGAAAACCTTTACCTTTTTACCTTTAATCCAATGAATACAGTGTCAGGGAGAAAAATCAAGATCACAGACAAAGGCAAGCATCTCACACACTGTATGCTACTGAAATCAACTTGCTTTGAGTTCATTTGAAGAAGAAAAGTGAAACACTTCTATTAAAATGTCTCAATCAAATAAATCTTTAGAATAAATAAAGCTTCAAGGAATCCATACTGAAATAACAATTCTAACAATTGTAGTTTTTTCACTTAATGACCAGGAATTGCATTTTTTTTTAGCTGTATCAAGAGATTTTGTTGTAAAATTAACCTTGGGCGGTAAGGTCACCCATTTTAAAGCAGTTATTTAACAATACTCAGCATTTATATATCACATTTTAGAAATTCAAAGTGCTTTATATACATTTTCTCAGGAAATCTTGCAACATCCCTGAGGGGTAGGGTAGTATTGTTTATAATTCCTATGCGGTATGAGGGAGGGGTGGGTGAATATGAGGGAAAAATGGCTCACTTGAAGTCACAGACTAGTGAGGTTATTGGTAAAGGGATATTTTAACCAGAGAAAGTTCTTATCATGGGCTCTCATAAATAGCTAATTCACTACATTAAAAAAGTAGGCATTTAGAGACCAAGTGCACTGGGGGTGGGTGGGGTCTGGCATCCTCCTGGGATGGGGCGGGCTCATCTGTGGGGGGTGTCACCCCCAAATGCCCCCCTTGGCTACGGGCCTGATCAAGTTTGAAGAAGATGGAAAAACAAAAAATACTGGAATGCAACAGGTTGTTTATGAGGTCATCTGCATTTACAGTATGATGCTTTTTACATTAACAGGGGGAGAAGGGAGAACCTGGAGCAAAAGGAGACACTGGGGAATCAGTAAGTGATCACTCAATAATTTATCCTTTTAAAAAAATGGGGGGGGGGAGTGACAAAAGACGGATCACCTAATAGCATCTGCTAGACTTAGTTTCTTGGGCTGTGAACCTCAAACTACCTTCTCCAAAGTAGTTCCACTGAAGTAGGGTGCAACACAAACATTCAAAATATTTATATCTCATCTTTCTACAGTATGCTTAAGGTGACTTACAATATAATCAAATACTAAATAAAAATTATGATCAGCAGCAAATAGTCATTACAGTATGAACAAATCAAAAGGATTTGTAAACATAGATCTGCCCCACTCACATAAAAAGATGGAGGTGATATTTTACTCCAAGAAGGTATGGAATGGAGGGTTTCCCTCCCCCTTTCATTTTCTCTTCCTGTGGTCCTTCTTCCCAAGCACTTCAGCTAAGCACAATTTGAGTATCAGTTCTTGCCTGAAGAGTTCTTGGGCGTGGTGTTGGTGGGGAGATACAGACAAGGGAAGAATTCTGCAGTCTTCACATGAGATTTCACTCCATTTGTTTCTACATGATAGAGACAAAAATTAGTACAAAATTGTTACCATCACATCTAAGCATATTTTATGGGAACAAAGCCTCAGTCAACTCAGTGATACTTCTGAGTAAACATTCTTGGGATCAGGCTGTTGATGTCTTTTACATCTTCTATACTCCTGCTTTTCTGAAACATGTAAGTCATGCTTTTCTGCAAGTTTTCTATGATTGCAATGACATTTGTTTTTCTATTCTGCATCTAGATAACTGGGCCACCAGGTCCACAAGGCCCACCAGGACCATCAGTAAGTACTATTTGTAATATAATGCATTGTGAAGATAGAACGAAACATCTTACCTATTTTAGAGGAATCCTCCATGTGCACAAATACAGGCACACATAGAAGAGCTGGCAAAATCTGATATTTTTGTGGGCCACTTCAATGAAATGTCCAAGGAAATGTCCAAGAAAATATTCACTTTTCGCCGAGGTATGCCCTATGCTCACAGTAATTTCTGTATCTTCTTCATGGTCTCTCTGCATCACACCCATGGGTTTAGGGCACCTGCGCCAACCCCGATCGGTAACTTCTAGAAGCTCAGCAAGGATTTTTGTACCCTTCCCTGTAACGTGCAGGAACTCCTACCGCACATACTCACAAGGGCAGGGTGCGGACCTCCTGCCAGTTCTCTTCTGACCACCATGCTGATCAGTCGATCTTTGCCTTTGTCAGTGACTTCATGAAAGACGTACCTCACAGTGACTTTTTTGCTCAGTTTTTCTTCATTGTGTTTTCACCATTTTCTTCATTTTCATCCTAATTTTTTTTTTTAAAAAAAAGAGACTAGTTTACCTTTATTTTTCAGTCTTTCCTTGTCCTCCACCCCCCCAGTTCATCTATGGAAAGGCATTGGGTTTTTTTAAAACAAGCTCACACCGCCAGACAGCCATTCTCTCTGTTCATTGTACTTGGAGGAATTTCATCAAACAGACCTGTGTCCCACTGCACAAAGTTTTCCAACCAAACAAGAAAGAACCATGCTGCGATATTACAAGCAGCATTCCTAGAATTGATGCTGACTCCATCGAAAATTACTTCTATTGCCGCTCAGGAGTCGACTGCTACAGTATCAACACCAATGGAAAAGCCCCCTTCATCAGGCCAATTTGCAAAGTCCTCATCGGAAATGGGGCCATTGACATCAAAACACGACTCAATGATATGATTGATGATACCAATGAAGCATAAAAGGAAGGTCAAGAGTCACACTAAGGTCAAAACTAAACACCTTAAGGCTGGCTCGAAGAAACAGACAGTGAGTCCATCAAAAGGCACTGCTAAGCCCAATGCCACAGCTCCCGTCCGACCCTTTTCACCGGACCCGAGTCAAGTTCCATTGGTACCCCTGGGAGAACTCCCCAGTTCAGGATCAACATGCTTCGGCTCATGCCTCCCTGTCAGGATTGGAGGTGGAGGTGATAGATATTACAAGATGATCTTTTCCCCATTTGTCATGATCCCTGTCGTCTAGCAGGGGACACTCAGGATTTCGGTTGATGGTCGATACCGATTGCTGGAGCCGAAGGCGTGGTTGCAGTTCCAGCCATCTAGGCATCCCTGCTCCCTAGTTTGAGGGCATAGTCTTTCACCCCATCGACATTTATCATTGCAGTTTTGAATGCCAGCCACTCTGCCCATGATACCTTAGGATCAAAGGCAACTTCAATATCTGTATGGAGCATTCCCAATCTCATCTATGCTGCCCAGGCTGTCTCCCAAGGGGCCTGCTGGATGGGATTAGCATTCGACGGTGTCCCATTGATCCCGATAACCACAGAGCATGGAGGCTGTTGTGCCTCCACATACAGCAACCTCATTGGGATTGAAACCTTCATGTCATTTTTCCTCAAGGGAGAAGCTGCAGGAAGTATTGACACCGATGTCCCCGGTATCAACAGTTCCGGTGCAAAGATCTCCTGCGCACACTGAACCTATATGCTCTAGCCCCCTGATGCCTTGGCTCTCCGGATTCTTCTGCATCTTCGGGCATTGAATCTGAGGTCTATGAATTGGGAGTGCAAGCTTCTCCCTCAGACCCCTCTCCAACTCCCTAGGTCTCAGAGGATCTCCCTATATCATCCTCAGAGGACCTCAGATCTTATGGGGATCTGATTAAGAGGATGTCTTATACTCTGTCTGTTTCCCATCCTCAGTCCACAGTGACGGATGCAGTCTTCGATATCATCCAAATGGACACATCGACTGCCATAGCTTTACCTCTGACTAACATCCTTTCACATGCTGTAAAGATACTTTGGGATAAACCTTCATCTAACTCAGTATCCACTAGACATTTTGACCACATGTATAGGATTCAGGAAGATGGTGCAAAATTTCTTTTTTCCCCATCCTAAACCACACTCGATAGTTGTAACTTTATTTTCTAAGAGCAAGAAGACCCATTCCACTCCAGGAGACAAGGAGAGTAAAAAGCTGGATTCTTTCACCCGCAGATTTTATTCAGCTGATGCCCTGGGCATCAAGACAACTAACTACTTGGCCTGTATGGGCAGATATCAATATGCGCTATGGGAGCAGATGTCCAAATTCATTGCTACACTGCCTGCTGATTCTTGTGACATGGCCAGGAGTATTCAAAAAGAGTGTATGCTGATCTTAGAATATTGTAAAGATGTACTTCTTTTTGTATGACTGGTCTAAAGACTGTAGAAATAAATAAAATTAAAAAAATTAAGTCTATTCCGCTGGCCAAACAGCAAATAAATTCTTCTAAACATGCCTTGGATACGTTTTTCAAGACTATGATGTCAGCTGTTGCCCTCCACTGCCACTCATGACTTCAAACCATAGCTTTGCAAGTGAATACTTGGGCACACATACAAGACCTTCCCTTTGATTGTCAGGGCCTATTCCATTCTACAACAGATTCTGTCCTAAAAGGTATGGACAGGAGCCTAAAGGCATCACACAGCTTGGGACTCTTGGCAACATTTCATTCCTACAAATCAAAAATATGGTCCAGTTCTTGGCCCAGACGCCAGTATGGGAGGACTCCTGGAAGGCCAAACAGTGTGACCCTTCTAGCAAGTCTACCTATGCCTCTAAGAGTAAATACCAACAATCCCAGCAACCAGGAATGGCAAAGGCTCTTAAGAACACCAAACAGGTCTTTGACTTCTCAGTCCCTCCGCCACCAGGAGCAGTGCTTTACCGTCATTCATCTTCATTAACCACACATCTCCACTCCTTTCTGCCAACCTGAAGGCTCATCATGTCAGACACTTGGGTGCTTTCCATCATTGCCCAAGGCTACGTGATAGAATTCTCCCAGATTCCTACCACTCCGGTGTTCGTGGTCACCACTCCTTTGGCTGTCCTGACACAAGAGGTTCAGACCTTGTTGGGAAAATGGGCTATAGAGGAAGTTCCACCTCTTGCTAGGGGCCGGGGTTTCTACTCATGATATTTCATCATTCCCAAGGCATCTATCCAATCTTACATCTCAGGGCCCTGAATTAATTTGTAGTCTATCACAAATTCCAGATGATGTCTCTGAACAACACCTTGCCTTTGCTGACAGAAGGGATGTGAATGGCAACATTAGACCTATAGGACACCTATTTCCACCTGAATATCAGACCATGACACAGGTGATACCTACACTTTGTGGTAGGGGAAGACCATTTTCAATACAAGGTCCTACCTTTTGGTCTGTCCACCTCACCCAGAGTCTTTACAAAAACAATGATAGCGGTGGCTACTTACCTGAGATTGCAAGGTACAATTGTCTTCCCATACATCGACAATTGGATTCTGGTAGCAAAATTGTGCGATCTCCTCCTATGGGACATTCAGAGGACATTGGAATTCCTTCAGAATCTGGGTCTTCAGGTCAACCACAGCAAGTAAAACCTCACTCCTTCACAATGTGTGCAGTTTAGTGGAGCCATTCTAGACTCCATGGTATGTAAGGCTTTCTTACCTTTACAGAGGGCACAGACATTGGCTGTGTTCGCTGGTCATCTGCAGTCTCAAGAGACATCCTCAGCTTTCTCCATCCAATGGCTTCTGGGCTTGATGGCAGCTACAACAGTGGTCCTTCCCTTTGCCAGGCTACACATGAGGACTTTGCAAATGTGGTTCATTTGATCATTCAACCCTGTCAAGCAGTCTCAGAGTTTACACCTGCATCTTCCCCCAAGGATAAAGGACTCTCTGAAGTGGTGGGAGCACATACCAAATCTTATGCAAGGTGCCCACTTTCACCCCCAATGCCTCAGGTAACTCTCACCTCAGACGCTTCTCTTTCGGGCTGGGGTGCAGACATGGGGGGCATATGTGTTGAAGCCAAATGGGAGAGGTACCTACAGGGGTCCCATATCAGTTTTCTAGAGCTCCTTGCAATCAAGTTTGGTCACTGGTCCTTTTTGTCAGTGGTTACTGGGAAGACAGGAGCGGCTCTAACAGACAACACGACTGCCTTCAGTTATATCAACTGTCAAGGGGGAACAGTATCTCTCAGGCTCTACAGGTTGGATCTTTGAAACTGGTGCATACAACACAAGATTATCATAACTGCTGCACATCTTCCAGTCAGAATGTTCAAGTGGACCTCCTCAGCAGAGGGGGAGCTCTGTTCCACAAGTGGAAACTGAAATGGACATACCTTCTACCACTCTTTCGTGAGTGGTATCACCCTTACATATATGTTTTTGCAACTCAACAAAACAAGAAATGCCCTCACTTCTGTTGCAGGGGAGGAGTGCACCCCCCCCCCCGGAAACAGCCTATTGGATCCATGGTATTGAGAATCTCTATCCATCTTTCCTCCAATACCCCTCATCACCAGGGTGGAAAACAAGATAATACGAGAGTGTCCTGACTGTATATTGGTGACTCCTTGGTGGCCATGCCAGCTGGGGTTCCTTCACTTGTCTCAAGGGGTTTTCCACCACTTCCCAGCCAAGAAGGACCTACTCCTCACTCTAGTGCATCACATCCTGTATCATGATATCCCACACCTCAAGCTGATGGCTTGGAGGATTGTTTAGAAGGTTTTTCACATAGTGTTAGAACCATAATGCCGAACAGTAGAAAGTTTTCTACAAGAGGTTTTATGCATACGAATGGAAGAAATTCTTACAATATCTTCACCACTTATGCGGAGAACCTAGGACTGTGGGACTTGCAATGATCTTTGAATTTCTGCTTTCCCTGATGAAAGTAGGGCTTAGCTATGTTCTCTAAGAGTATACCTGGTGGCAGTTTCAGCTTACCACAAG